GTGCGTTCCGGCGCCAGTAATCATTAATGTACGCTGGTCCTGTAGAACAAACACATAAAACGACAATGTGCACAACATGATTTTATATAATTTTGGATGCACAATGTGGAGGCATCTGAGTGGCAGCGCTTTAACACTTCCAAGTAGTTTTATCAGTGTGAGGTGTCAAATGCGGTGACGGGTCTGTTTGCAGGTGACAGCTTTGAGTTCCTCTAGGGAAGCTGCATAAATGTCGCAATTTTCAAAACGTTATATAAAAACAAAGTTCAAGGTCAAAAAATGTCTGTTCACATATCATTCAAAGATTAAAAAAAATAAAAATAAAACTTCATTACTTTAAATCTGGCAGCTTGCAGAAGAAAGTCATTTAAAATGGAAAGAAATGGACTTTTCTGCTAATTTAAGTCAAGTTAAGTTAGCTGTGGTTAGATTGACAGGCATTGAGATTTAACTGTCCTATTGTTGCAATATTCCTACAAGAACAGGGGCAGAGGTCAGGTACCTGAGTTTTATTGATTTCCTGCTCACTGCAAACCAGCAGACTGACTTGACTATTTCTAAAGTGTGCACAGCTGCAGGGCAGGGAGGATGGAGTGAAGGACAAATGTTTGCTAAATTTCCAGTCAGGCATGTATGGCCTGAATCATGAGTTGTAAAGATGTGTGTATCTTAAATGGATTGTCAATAATTGTAAAATCAAGCTTTTCACTGCTAAATGCTGAACCAATCAGATTAATTATAATTGCTAAATCCCATGAACACAACTTCTTTGCGTACAGTAAAAATTGCGACCCTAATATTCTGGGTCGTCCATCGCATTGTGCGCATGGACGACCCAGTGGTATCCGGTCGACGCTGATAGTGACGCGGTGCCGACACCAGAAGTTCCCTGCTGACCTGCAGCCGCTGACCGTAGAGTAAAACTACTGTTTACAATTTGTTTTGTGTCCACCGTGTAAATGGACACAAACATAAAGCAGAACATTTCCCCAACATTGTAATAAGTGAAATAGCCTCCCAGGGGAACTTATACTTTTTTCTTCTTCTTCGTTTTTTTAAGTTAACTTAAAACGAGCTCATATATCTTATTGAAAAGTTACTATTAGGTTTGCTTATTTCAAGTGTATAAAAATTAGACCAAAAAATACACACTATAAGATTCAGTGTTTTTGAAGTCTGACAGATGAGATTGGCACAATTTGAAAACATGCTGAGGAGATAATTCAACCATTTCATTCACTACTCAATTTGAAAAAATAAAGGGTATTTTAGAAATACACACCTAGAAGAGCACAAAGGACTCAAGGCTCCTTCCTCCAGGAATGTGTCTAATGGCAGTATGCTTTCCTGTGCTGTATCTCGTACTGAGAATAGAAGAGAGGAGAGACACCACCCACTGAGTTATCTAATCCATGACCTGAAATCCTCTGTCGCTCTCTCCTTCCTGCCTGTCTGTCCCCGGGCGCTGCTCTGGGCTCTGGGGATACTGTGAAAGCAGTGAACTTCAAAAAAAAAAAAAAAAAAAAAAGAAAAAGAAAAAGGTGAAGCAAACCAGGGAGATGCGAGTGACATCTCAGGTAACCGTGAGGCTGCAGGGCGATTTCACAACTGTGCTGAGATCAAACCGCCTCTGAGCAGCTCGGGCTGCTTCCTCACTGTCCACAGGTGATCAGGTGTGGGTTTTAGAAAAGGTCAGGTGTTGTTACGTAACATCCTCACCTACATTGCAAATCTGGAAGCTTTCGGAGAGGCTGTTCGTTGTGAAGGGGAGGGAAGATTTCAGTGTATTCAGTCGCAGCATCGGTTCTACTACAGGAACTGCATCACTCCACTTCTGTGGAACTCTAAGGCAAAATATAATTTTTTTTTATGAAGTGAATAGTTTGAGTAATTTGAGAAATATCTGAACACTTATTTTGGGCTCCAAAATCAGACTTTTGGTGTTCAATAATTCACTACCTGATTAATTAATTTTTTTATTTTTTATTTTTCATGATGTCACATTCAGGAAATAGAGAAAGAAATTGTGCATCCCAACTTACATAAATCAGGACAAGTTTGGTCTGGTTTAACAGAAAAAAAAGTTTCTTTCTAATTTCTACATTTATAGGCTGAAGCTCTTTGGGTGTTACTTTTTTGGAGTAACACCCCCCCAAAAAAACACATCAACACATGTAAAACTATTCCCTCAAAGCTGAACTCATCTGTTGCTGTGGGTCTGCCTTCGATCAGCGCTCCCGCCTTGTCTGTCAGTTAGGTAATGCAGTGGTGCCAGGAGTTATATTGGAGGTGACACCTCATCAGGTCTATAAATAGCTGTGCACCTCCCTCCTGGGAGCCCAGCTGCAGCTCCCTCCCAGGCTTTAGTTCATTTGTTTATAGGGAGCTGAAATTTCCCACTGCCACTTTATTCTCCCAAAATGTCTGATCCCTGCATATGAACACACTCCGAAAGACCCTCAGAAAGATGCGGGTCATCGCTTTATCATAGCGTAAAGTTGTGATAAAACAGTTAAAGTTGAATGTGATCAGAATTTAGCCACTCTTCAAAATGGGAAAGACAGAAAACATGCCATTGGAGTAGCAGGTGGCTACGTGAAAAGAGCTGCTGCTTTATACGTGGATATATCCACAGTCAGACCAATAATCAGCGACGAACGAAGCCGGACAACAAGCCACATTTATCCTGTCGCCGTTCTCAGTGAGAATTGTGGTAAAAATAAATCTTCATCGTTATCGTTTTTACCAAAGGTGCCAAAACGTGTATGAAATCCGACACTAAATTCAGAGGAACGTGAACTCCCTCCCACTTTGTATCACTCTTACATAAATAAAAATGTAGGAATAAAGCAAGTGGGACTGATAAGCGCATGAGAATTGAAATAACATAATATAAATAAATAATAAAAATGATACAGAAAACCCCCTGCAGGCTGCGTCTGACCCCTGTGAGTCATTGTCTGCATGAGCGTCTCTGGAGTTGAACATGACTCAGGAGAAAGCGTCTCTCAAACGCAGCTCTTTCAACACCAGAACGAGGCTGCAGATTTATTCTTTAATATTTTATAGAACTGGATAGTGTGTGTGTCTTCTTTTTGCTTCTTTTCTTTACTACTAAGCAGATTTTTTTCCCCCCTGAAATGCACCTGAATCTCCTGTGAAGGACTAAACGTGGGCATCGCACAGAGAAGCAGTGAAACAATCGCTAAGTAAAGCTGCACTGGAAAAGAAACAAAAGAGTAAACAAAATAGAAATTTTGCTCTATGCTGAAATTAAAGAGGCTTATAATTCAGTTAAAAATTGGTAGTGCAACATCATCATTCCTGACAAGGTGGCATGTGAATCATTTCTATGCCAACTTCAAGTTTCGATTATAATCTTTGTGCTGCTAACTAAAAAGTTTTTTGACATAAATTTCTTCAAAAATTAATCGCATGGATTTCCATTCATTTCCTGTATATAAAAGTTCAATGTTTTCTTCATTTTTAAAAACAAAAATATATATATATATTTTAATTGGAAAACCTAAGCAGCAAATTTCCAACAGTATACATCGTAAAACAAGATCATTTGTTTTATGCAGCCTTTGTGGGTCTCAGTAAATTTGGTTTGAGTGAAAATGACTTGCTAGGGTTGCTTAATCCCAACTTTAATTGGCTTGAAAATTTGATTTTTCAGCATCTCTACGGCTGCCAGACTAGTAAAATCTGGATAAAGCATTTTAAAATTTCCAACATGGTGGCATCTACACCTTTCCCCTGACAACTACAGCTGAGACCTGCTGTTCATTTGGTAATGACTGACGCAGGTTTAGAGCTTGCCAACATATTTGTGGTTTGTTGCTCAATAGATGGATGGATTAAAAACAATAAGACATTCACAAAGCGACATGTAAAACTCTTTCCATGTCAACCACAGATGAGTTTTTCTATTACTTGGCAACAATGGCCTCAGAGTCTAGCTTGCTAGCCAGCTTATCTTTAGCATTAGCATTAGCCATGTAGCTAAATGAGCTAAACCTGCTTTCCCACTTAAATTTTAAGTCTTAAGCAGAAATGTTCTTGACTGCAAATCTAAGTTTGGTTCATTCACTACACAGCCCACATTAACACCAGTCTAATTGTTGTCTGTTAGACTTTTCACATAATAAATGCGGTTCATAGTTCAGTGAATGAATATCCTTGGCTTAATTGTAATTCAAAAGTTTTCACAGGATTTTCTAATTTGGTAGTTATCTTGATTTAAAATGTGTTACGTTTGATATTCCACAAAAATGTTTTTTTGTAGTGCAAAAGTGCTTAATTGAAGTTGTGTCTTTGTTGTGAGATGAAAGAGCTGTTTTAATGTGTTTGGTATAGACTTCATACTTGGTTCAGACCCTCTAAATAAACATGTTCAGTTTCCAGATGATCATATGTTCCCCTGAGACTTCACCAAGTCCCTGAACATTTTGTTCCTATCAGCTTTTAAACCAAAGGATTTTTCAATTTCAATGAAAGCATCTAGTTAATGATACTTCACATCCAGATATATATATAGTGTGCATAAAGTATAAATATATTTATATATCTATATATTTATAGAGTATAAAACGATTAACATTCAATTTCTATTAAATCAATGAAAATCCCTAGAAATAGTTTATTGTGAAGGCTCAAATCTGCATTTTATCAGTAAGTTAATTCCTTAAAGGTTTGACTCCTCATGTCAAACCTTAAAGCACATGTGTTTTCCTCACATGTGTAAGGAAACCAAGACAAACACAAGTTGCTGTTTTTGGGTTTAAGTGAGACAAAAAGAACAATTGTACTACTCCAACTTTCAGTTTTTCAGATGTTCTAATACTTTTTTTGCATTGCCGACATAAATAATGGCGCACTTCGGGTCTAGGGGGAAGCGATCCTTTGGTCTGCGCCAGATCGCCGAGTGCGCGCATCTGGTGCCAAACTGGTCTCTGGTGCAGCAGCAGCAGCAGCAGCAGCACATTGTTCTGTTTCTCTTCATCCTGCCTACTAATATCCAGGCAGCTGGAACTTGAGTCGTGCCTCACGTGTTGTGGGGTTTTCTGTCATGTTTGGGAACTAAAGAGTGAGATCTCACTGAAACGTTTTCGCTCTCTTGGAGGTAAGAGTTGGGATTTTTTTTTTCTTGTTTTGTAGACTTAAAAAAACCCCAAACCCAACACAGTGGCTCTCGTGCCTCTGGCCGTGATCGCCGTTTCTTCACGTGCTATGTAGGTCACTCACTTCAGTGGACGTGCTGTTCGCCACCCGGGTCCCTCCAGTCCCCCCACCAGATCTGAACGAGTGGGCCGCCTGCTGCATGCCTCGCCTCCCTGTGCCACAGCGCCTCTCTCAGCTCTGAAGTCGGGGCGTTAATGGGAACTGGATGGGAAGTGTGAGGTGAGAGATGCTGGCTGCTTTCAGCACGCTGGTTAGCGCCCTGGGAAGTTGGAGAGGACGCGCGGACGCGCCGGGATTTTAAGTGAATTGAATGTTTTGGGATTCTTTCCGGAGACATGAGCGGCGGCTGATGGTGATGGCTGGCTTTAGGTACTTGTTTGCAGCCAACAGGCGCAGGTAACCTAAGAAGAGGGGATTATTATTATTATCATTATTATTTTCATTCCTCTGCTGTGGGGAGACATGGACTTTGCTGACATCCTCTTCGCTCTGTTCATCGTCGTGGTCGCGGTCGTGTCCCTGCTGTCAAACTTGTTGGTGCTGCTATGTTTCGTCCACAGCACCGAGATCCGCCGGCAGGTGCCCGGCGTCTTCACCATGAACTTGTCCTTCTGCAACATCCTCATTACGGTGCTCAACATGCCGGCCACCCTGCTGGGGGTCGTCAGGAACCAGAAGCCCTTCGGGGACCGCGTCTGCCACACGGTGAGCTTCCTGGAGACCTTCCTGACTGCGAACACCATGCTCAGCATGGCCGCGCTCAGCATCGACCGCTGGATCGCGGTGGTCTTCCCGCTCAGCTACGCCACCAAGATGCGCTACAAGGACGCGGTGATCATGGTGGGCTACTCCTGGCTGCACTCCTTCACCTTCTCCCTGACGGCGCTGCTCTTCTCCTGGGTGGACTACAGCGACGCGTACGCGTCCTGCACGCTGCAGCCCAGCGGGGGAGGCAGCGACAGAGTTAGGTTCACGGTTTTCACCGTGGTTTTCCACGCCACCAGCTTCGCGCTGTCGCTGCTCACCCTGTGCTTCACCTACCTGAAAGTGCTGAAAGTCGCCAGGTTCCACTGCAAGAGGATCGACATCATCACCATGCAGACTCTGTTCCTGCTGGTCGACATCCATCCGAGGTGACGCTTCGAACTTTCTTTTTTTTTTACTCGTCCAAAACTTGTTCATCCGAACCCTTTCACTAAAACGCGACAAGTATGGCTCGCCAGAAATTTGATAAATAACTCCGCATTCAATCACTTCGAAATATGCTGTTATCTTAATTGTTTGCGTAATCAGCGTGGAAGCGATTGTTCCGTTTATTTTCCAAATATTTGTAATCTGTGTCAGCATCATTTGGGTTATTTTATTTCTTCAGCTGCGTGAGTCTGGTAGTGTGAGTATGTTGGTTTTTGTGTGTATTTGATGTTTTCAAATCACCTTATATAAAGAAAAAATACAATTTTATTGTATATTTCATATTGGAGTGAAAATAATGGTGATCAAATCTAATTTAATAGCTAAAGCAAATTAAATATTTATTAAATATCATTAAAAAAGATAATAAATATATGAGGTAAATAAATGTATCTATAATTCTTCAATGAAGTTCTTAAAAACTGCTATGAATGAATGAACTAATTAATTAATGTTTACAGGATAGCTATCAATTAGTTATTAATTAAAAACAGAAAATATTAAACTAGTAGATAAATAAAAGGCTAAAACCTAAACTGGTACATTGAGAACAGTAGCCTACATCTAATGTACTTCTTTGTTATTTTAATTTAAACCTTTATTTATCTAGTCATCAATATAAAAAAAGACCCCTTTTACAAGACAATCCTGACCAAGACAGAAATCAGCACAAAAGGCACATTTTCGGTGTTAAAACATTTGACAAATATCAATCAAGAGAGTTTAACCATAAGATATGAAATGTAATACATCAAGACTAAAAATAGTGAACAGCTGCAATGAAATGCTCAGCACAGAAGAAATGCTTGCAATCCTGCATATTAAAACATTTTTATACATACTGTATATATTTTTTTATATATATAAAAAAACATGCAGATCCCAAACAACTTTGGATATTCATTTAAGTTTCTCAGTTCAATACTCCCATTCCTTACTTCCGACGTCCATCATGGCGCCTCGAATGATTAAGTGACGCCGTTGCAAAGGGTTAATAGTTTGGGTCATGCAGAACTGATCTGATCATTTCCATACCAACGAGAAGACGCAAGACATTCGGCAGAACGACAGTGAGCTCATTGTATCTATGACCTCATCTATGACATGTGTATCTAGATCAAAGAACGTCCAAGGTTATAAATGTTTGTTTCAAAACATCAGTTCATTTCTTCAAACCTCAGCTCTGTAATATGACAAGGATTTGCAATATGGCAGAGATCTTCGTCACCATGTTTTTTCCCCTCGGTTTTGGGATTGGATATTTATTCACAACAGGGATGAAGAAAATTTGTAATGAGCTATTTCCAGGAAGAAAAGACGAAAGTGTTAACTCGAACGAGATCACTTCTTATAGTTATGACCATTTTGATGATTTTCTTTGCAATCCGTCCCTAGAAGAATATGATGAGTTTGATTCATTTCTTTTCAAGCCGCAGAAACATCCCCAGTTGGGGAGGTTTGCTGGGGCTCTGAATATGATGAATTTGATTCATTTCTATTTGATCGTCCCCGGACTCAGAAGCAAACCTCCCCAGTTGGGGAGGTTTATTTCTCCGGTGATGCCTTTTTTTATTCCCATTCTTTCCTTTTTGATTCACCACCATCTGATATTTATTCAAAACAGGGAATAAATATCCCAGAGAAGCAAACCTCCCCAGCTGGGGAGGTTTGCTTCTCTGGTAACAGCCATTTTGATCCAGAGGCGGGCGCAGTTCCAGGGAACAGCTCCCAAAATCAACTGCAAGGAGAAGATCTTCCTGCAGCCATGTTTTCAGATGTGTCTCACCAAAATAATAATATATGGCCCCCATGGTTATTATTTTTCTATTTTCTTCTATTTTGCATTCCCTGGGTTTTTATTTTGTATTTTGGTCTTTTTAAATATTTCTTAATTATGTATTTTTTATGTGGTTTTCTTTATGATGCATGATACATTTTGAGTTTAGGTTTACGTTTTTATATTTTACCAGTTGAAATGTCCTGTTTCCTGAAACATGCCATCATGGCAGTAATAAGTGTCTATAATCAATGATTTTTAAAAAAAATCCCCTTCTGGGGAGGTTTGCTCCCCAGGCGGGAGCAAATTGTTGATTGTGGGAGCCGTCCCCAACAGAAAAGCAAACCTCCCCAGTTGGGGAGGTTTGTATCTCCGGTAATTCCTTTTTTTATACTTATTCTTTCCTTTTCGATTCATCCATGTCTGATATAGGGAATAAATATCCCAGAGAAGCAAACCTCCCCGGCTGGGGAGGTTTGTAACAGCAGTTTTGATCCAGAGGTGGGCACTGTCCCAGAGAACAGTTTCCACAATCAACGAAAAGACCAAAGTTGCCTGCCAGGAGATCTTCCTGCAATCATGTTTGCAGATATTCCTGCAAACATGACAGAATCATGAGTTTGAAACTCATGAGTTTGATTCATTTCAAATCAAATATCAAATCAATTTATTTGTATAGCACATTTCAGCAGCAAGACATTTCAAAGTGCTTTACATCATAAACACAAAAACACAAAGTCATGCAACACAGAATAAACAATACATTGTTATTTTTTACCTTTCAAATACAATTCTAAATACGTGTTTTTAGTTGAGATTTAAAGGAAGTCAGGGTTTCCTCTGTTTTACCGTTTTCTGGAAGTTTGTTCCAAATTTTTGGTGCATAGATGCTGAAAGCTACTTCTCCTCTCTTGGTTCTGGTTCTGGGGATGCAGAGCAGACCAGAACCAGAAGACCTGAGAGGTTTGGAAGGTCGATACAACAACAGCAGATCTTTGATGTATTGTGGTGCTAAACCATTCAATGATTTGTAAACTAACAACAGTATTTTAAAATCTATTCTTTGAGCTACAGGGAGCCGGTGGAGGGACTTCAAAACTGGTGTTATGTGCTCTATTTTCCTGGTTTTAGTGAGAACACGAGCAGCAGCGTTCTGGATCAGTTGCAGCTGTTTGATTGATTTGTTGGACAGGCCTGTGAAGATGCTGTTACAATAATTCAAACCAGTCGAGCACCGAACCGGGAAGTCCGATCCAACTCTCCAATCAATCAATATGTCATGGTCAACAGTGCACTGAGGTCCAACAGAACCAGCACTGTGGTTCTCCCACAGTCCGTATTTATATGGATATCATTGAATACTTTTACGAGGGCCGTCTCAGTGCTGTGGTGAGCACGAAAACCAGATTGGAAAGAGTCAAAGCAGTTGGTCATCATGAGGAAACTATTTAATTGTTTACACACAGTTTTTTCAATAACTTTGCTGATGAATGGGAGGTTGGAGATCGGCAGCCTTGAATAGTAACAAAGTAAAAATACTTCACTACTTTACTTAAGTATAGTATGAAGTATATACTTCATACTTTCCTCGAGTATGAAAATTTTTGATAACTTTCACTTTTACTTCACTACATTTCCAAACTTAATTTCATACTTTTACTCCGATACATTTTCAATGTGTGGTTTAGTTACTCGTTACAAAAAAGCGAGAGAGAAACGCAAATGTTTTGATCAACCTACTGACCGACTGCAACAAAGCCTGCTTGCCTGGGCTTGTTCATCACCACCAATAGGATACACAGGTTTCTCACCTCCCCACCTACGTCAAAAAGTCCAGCAAACAGTCTGATTGGTCAGTGCTCCGTTCGTGTAGGTTTGTGCCGTTAAAATTTTCGTTTGTGCAGCTTTGGTTTCCGAGATATTAAAATAATTTTTTAGGCCATCCAGAGTTCACCATCTCCGCATTTTGCTCCAAAACAAACCAAAGTGGGCTGGTTCGTTTGTGCCGCTGAAACAAATGCAGCAAAGTTGTTTTCAATTTGGATTTTGACTATTCCGATATCCGGTGTGAGCGGCGCCTAACTCGAGGTTGATCCGATTCATGAACGCTAATTTCGGCCAGCCGTTCTCTGGGTCTCCCCCTTCCTCAAGGTGTCGGAGTTTCACTCAGGGAGACTCAACAAATTTTACATCCAAACTCTCCTGAGAAACTAATGGAAATAGATTTCTTGCCTTGTGACCAACTGACACAAAAGTCATGTGTCAGTTGGTCACATGACACAACTGACACACAGTTGTGACAAACTGACACAAAGTCAGATGGTGACAAAACCCGTTACAATTAATTGTAATCTTAAAAAGTATATATTTTGGATGGCCTAAAAAATTATTTTTAATATTTCGGAAACCAAAGCTGCACAAACAAACACTTTAATGGCACCAACTGAGCACAAACCAATCAGAGTATTTGCTGGATTATTTGAGTAGGTGGGGTGTCAGCTTCATGGAGTTCTGTTTCGCTTCTCCCATTAAACACCAAGTTAACTAAAAGCTCTCCCTCTTCAGATGCCAAATAAGCTGCATTTCCCTCCCAATTCTTTTTTTCTTTTGCATAATGACCAGTTGTGTGCACCTATAGTGTGTGAAGTAAAGTAATCGTAATGTTTTTTTTTCTTCATGTTGGCCGCAATTTCTGACTACTGACTATTTATTTTTCTCATTTTCAGCACTGACCTTACTGAAAGGAAAAAGTTAATGCTTACAAAAACTTTGTATTTTCTGTCCCGGAGGGTTTACTAAGAAGCTGGTTCAGTTGTAAAGCAGGTTAAGTTAACCTAAAGCAGGTTAAGTTAACCTTGTGGTTTAGGTAAAGCACCTAATTTTCTTAACTAAATGATCCTGCAGGTTTGTCTATTAGCAGGTTTCATTTTGCCTGCACTTGGTTGTGTACATTATTTTAAGTGTATTTAACAAGTTTACCAAAATATAAAAAAATGTCATTCAAACTGCATTTGCCTTGTTTTACTTTTTACTTGTACTTTTCATTACATTACTTGAGTACATCCATTGTTACAGTAATTTCCATACTTAAGTACAAGACATTTCAGATACTTTAATACTTTAACTCAAGTAACATTTCAGTCAGTGACTTTTACTTTTACCAAAGTCATATTTTGGAGCAGTACCTATACTTTTACTTGACTCCGAGATTTCAGTACTTTATACAACACTGGAGATCAGCCAGTAATTCTGCTATAGGGATTTGTCCAGATTGTTCTTTTTTAACAGTGGTTTGATGACTGCTGTTTTCAAAGCCTGGGGGAAAACGCCTGATGTGAGTGATGAGTTTACTATTTAGATCAGATCAGTAGCAATAACAGGCAGGACTTTCTTAAAGAAATGTGTGGGAAGGACATCCAGACAGCAGGAGCTTGAGCTTAATTGACTTATAATTTCTTCTAGAGTTTGATAATTCAGTAGTTGAAAATGGGTCATTTTTTCTGTATTTGTTTTGTTTAGGTACAGCAATGGTTCTGGCTTTGAAGTTGATGTGCAGATTAATCCTCTGATTTTTTAAATTTTCTCTGAAAAGAAGTTGGAAAACTTGTTACAGGCAGCATTAGATTGGAGTTCAGGTGGTGATGTCATAGGAGGGTTTGTGAGCCTGTCAACTGTTGCAAATAAAGTTTGAGCATTATTGTTTTTGTTTATGACATCTGCAAAAAAAGCCTTGCATGTTTTAGTGTTGAGTGATAGTTACGTAGTGTTTCTTTATAGATGTCATTATGAACGTGAAGTTGAGTTTTACGCCATTTTCGTTCTGCTCTGCGACAGAGTTGTCTTGCAGATTGAACTGTTTGTGCTTTTCTCCATGGAGATTTCTTCGTACCAGACACAACCTTTACTTTAATTGGAGCAATGGAATCAATGATATATGAAACTTTAGACTGAAAATCATCTACCAACTTTGCAGATGTTCCTACAAACATGACAGAAACTTTTTTGTTACTGAAGGAACCAGTCAGGACACTGAAAATGTGTCTCACCAAAATGATAACATATGGCCCCCATGGTTATTATTATTTTTTTATTTTTTCTATTTTGCATTCCCTGGGTTTTTATTTTCTATTGTGGTCTTTTGAAATATTTCTTAATTATGTATTTTTTCTGTGGTTTTCTTTATGATGCATGATACATTTTGAGTTTAGGTTTATGTATTTACATTTTACCAGTTGAAATGTCCTGTTTCCTGAAACATGCCATCATGTTAGTAATAAGTGACTATAATCACTATTATCAAATCTTTTTTGTGTAACTGTATGACTATGTGTATCATAGCAATTAAATCCATACAAACAGAAATAATGTTCTAGAAAAATATACCATTTAATATGCTTCTTTAAGACACCAGTAACATAAAGAATAGTGATTAGTATTAACTTACTGTCAGCTTTGGTGGGTTTTAAACATCTTTAATTGGAATTTATTGTGACTCCAATAAATCAAAATTCTTATTCTGATAAGGAATTTATTATGATAAATGATTAATATGATAAATTGAAAGTAACCTTTCTGAAACGTGCAAGAGCTCGTTTTAGGTCAATAATTTATTTGGCACCTGCAGTAAGAAATTGATTATTTTTGTTTAAAAGGAGAGATTTAATTATGTCCACTGGGTAACAAACCCCTGTGGATTTTTGTCCATGCAGAGGGAGCAGTTAATAGTAAATAAAAATATTTATTTGTTCCTTAAGAAAAGACATTAAGATGTCTTTAACCACTTCATTATCAATCAAATTTAGTGGGCGGGGCTTGGATGTGGTGTTTAATCACTCATTGATGATATTATGTTTAAATTACACTGAATTATTGATTCACATTTTGTTTAATAAGACTGCACTAGATTTTTATGACAATATTTCATTTAAAAATAATCTCTTGTTTGAGATATTAGTGAGAATTTTCTGGGAAACTTTGGTTTTCTCTTTCTGTCATCAGACTGTTGCATCCAGGTGCTGCTGGGTTTCTTTGGCTCGGTCCAACTGTTCAGGTCACCAGTCACTCACTTTAACATGAGACAAATCCCACAGGCCCCACTCACATGACGGCAGAACTCAGATGACATCACACAATTATTACGGATAGGATAGGCACCAGACATCCTCTGCTTGGCTGCCCCTTGTGCCTGTTCTCCGTCTCAGTCACTGTAACAGTAGAAGAAGAAACTACTAAAGACTAAATCAAAAAGAATGACTTGAGTTACCATTCATATGAGAGTCAGTAGCTTTAATTTAGTCAGAAACCCCCAAAATATCGAAACAATTTATGCTTCAGTAATTCTATGTATTTTACTTCACAGATACTGACTTTATTTTAAAATTTCTCTAATCATTGAGTTATTGTTTCTACATTTAAATAGTGATTGCCAATAAGTATGACCTGATAATAAATTATTAATTAAATAATTAATCGCACAAGTCATCATTAAAGTTGATCTGGACATGGATACATTTAATTTAGAAATACATCAATATGATAGATAGATGGATAGATATAGTGCATTACTTAAGAAATGCAAGTCAACTACCTTAGCATTTCTATTTCATTCATTCATTTTTGTTTATGTGTTGAATAGTGGCCCTTCTTTCTTTCTTTAACATTATATTTTTTTATTGAACTGTTACACTTGTGTACCTCCGAATGTGACATCTGAACGCTCTCCCATTTTTTTATCTGTTGATTTATGGGACTTCTGGACTTAATTCGTCTCTTTGCTGTTTGCAGCGTCAAACAAAGGTGTTTGGCTGAGCAGAAGAGGCGAAAGCAGAGAGCCACAAAGAAGATCAGCATCTTCATCGGCTCATTTATCATCTGCTTTGCTCCTTATGTAATTACAAGGTAAGACTACCCGATGGGAATTCATGCATTATTTAATTTAGTGCAAAACCCCTGTAAGAGAGCTTTAAAAATTAACAACCCGACTCATGTAAGTTAATAGGCTGCAGCACGAACAGCTACCTAACGAATATCTTCGTTAGTTAGTCATCGTCTCACTGCAGAGACCAACAAAGGTCTGCCACAACATCAGGTGAAATTCTGCAGCTCACACTCACATCTCATCGAACTGGATTGTAAAGTGATGGCTGTTGCGTCAATTAGGCTCTAGACAGCCAGACACATCAGACAAAGCCTATTTAAACAACAGCAAATGGATAAATAAAAGGGAAGAGGGCTGTAGTCAAAACATTAAGAACAATCAATTATTAATCAGATAATAACAACAGAGGCACACAGGGCAAACAGCCACACACTGACTCACACATGAAAGACATTTCTGAGTACCCAGTTGACCTAACATGCAAGTTTTTGAAGTGTGGGAGGAAGCCAGAGCTCCCAAAGAGAACAAAAACATCCACTGGGAAAATATTCTAAACTCCTGGATTTGAACCCTGAACTTTCTTGCAGCAGCGTTAATCTGAACAGTTCTTTGCAATGCCACTAACACTGACTTAAAACAGACCTAAATAGTGATAAGAGAGTCATCCTCCCCTCCCCAAAAAGATAAAAAAACATGGCTTTCAAAATAAAAGCTTTTAAATTTCCCTGCAGAATTAAAAATGCAAGAATGTTTTATATTAGAGTTTCTACAGATGTGGGCTCTGGATGTGGCCAGGTCTTTACTGAACTGGTGGATGATTTGGTTTCGATCATATTTATGAGGAAACTAAGAATTCTTTGTCTTTTTTCCACAAAGGAAGCCCATGTATGTGTCATAAAACGTCTATAAAGAGTGTGGAATAATGCAGTAAAAGTTCACAGTTAGATTAAAGATTTTACCGATGCCACTTTGTTTTTTAAAGAATCTCTGTTCATTGTAGAATAACCAAACTGAGGTTTCAGCAGTCGGAAAATGTCAGATTATAGTTGATCAGCTGGACAGCAAACTCCTTAGATAACAGTGTAACAGCAAGGGGTGTCCATTCCCTATGAATGGACATGCAAATGAAAGATAGAAAATTCCTTTACATCAAAACATTAGGTATATTATTCTAAAGGATCCCACTGATTATCTCTCGCTGGGGCAGAAAACCACAATGCCATATCAAGAAAACCCTGTCAAACACTGAAACATAGAGTGAAAACATGTTTCTGCAGATGTGGTGTTGAAAATCCACGAGGTTGACATTTCTGGCGACAGGATGAGACGTTATCAGGGAAAGATTCCTGACTGACTTGTTGAAGCGCATAACTTGACCTCCTGACCCCGTGGAAGCCTCCAGCTGGGACCTAAATATCTCATCTGGATGAGCCGTGTGCTGGTAAATTGCAATAATCTCCAACCCAACTGCGCCTGTATGATCCAATTTCATTTTAGTGGCACAACATCAGAGCAAGCAGAGAAAACAATCCAGATGGAAATTAGGACCCAGTTGTGTGGGAAATCATGGCTTTTGTGGTGCATGTTCAATCAGTTTATTTATTAGCCATTGTTGCTTAATTGTATCATATTTTATAGCTCATATTTACTGTATTGATTGACAAGCATTCGCCAGACTTCCACATGGCTGATACCAATTTCTGTTTCCTGTCAAAAAGCTGCAAAACTCTTGAGACCCTGAAAATACAGTCAGAGCTGCAAAGCGTGGTGGAGGTCGAAGCATTTTCAACTGCTTGAATGGCCTAGTCAAAACCTAGACCTTAGCTTTAGGTGTTTTGCAAAATAGTCGGTCAGTAAAACTTTCTCCAGACTCCAGCAGCACTTGAGACACTGAGAGAAAATATTTATTAAAATAATGAATTTGTGTCCTTTGATTGTTATTTTTCATCAATTACATTGTATCTAATATTTAACTTTGTTGCCACAATTTAAGCAACAATTGTACATTTTGGTACGGGTGCAAACAAATTTACCTCTACTCCATCATTAAGAGTTTTGAAACTTAAGGGTTCGGTTCCAGTTTCCTGTCACATGGTTGTCATCTTGGCTAAAGCACTTAACCATAAGTTGCTGCTGATCTAAGCAGTCTGACTGGAAAAAATACTATCCTTATGACTGTGTTCACTAAGTAACAGAAAGAAAATGGAGCATATGCATTTATATATATCATATATCAGAAAATCCTTTAGATATATTTTTGAAGGTATTTTGTTAGAAAGCCACTTGTCGTATTGGAAGATACTCTTGGTTTTAAGTTGATTGTATTAAATAGTTAAACTGAATAACAAATTAACATACAACATTGAACATGTGTTGTGTGGATTAAGGACATTTATGTGGATAAGACCTGTGATGGGCTGCCTTCCCACAACATCCTCTTACACCAGATCTTGCTTAGCAAAATGAACGTTGCACCTAAAAACTTGAAGAATAGAAAACTGGAGCAAAGTTTGAGAAATGAAATCTCCTGGTTGGGTCTGCGTCTCTGATCAGCGCTCACCCTCTCTCTCCTCAGGTTGGCCGAGCTTCTCCCCTTCGTAGACGTCAACCGACACTGGGGCATCGTCAGTAAGTGCCTGACGTACAGCAAGGCTGCGTCCGACCCGTTTGCCTACTCGCTGCTGCGCCAGCAGTACAAAAAGGTCCTGGTTACAGTCGTCAACAAGCTGCTGCGCCGCGACCTTTACCCTTCATCGGGACACAACAGCTCTTTGGACACGGAGAATGACTACTGTCTTCAGCGGATCAGCTAATGGCAAAAACGTGACGGATTTGGATGTGACAGATGCTCTCCAGCAGAGAGAGCCAGCCCCCAAAACAGGTTGGCTCATGAGGAGGAGGTGGGCGGCCGGAGGAGACGGAGATTTCAGGGGATTGTCGGGGAGGACAGATTGTGGGTGAAGAAGGAGCGAAAAAAAGAAAGGTAGTGGGTGGAGAGGAATGGAAAGGCAGGGATGAGTGGGAGGATGGATGGGTAGAGATATGATGTAGGGGAGACAGGTGAGTTTCGGTAGGATGGTTCTGGTAAACAGTTGGGTCGGTGATTCATCAGCCTCAATAAATGACACAGAAACCAATCAATTCCCCCCCTGAACGTCACAGATTCAGGTTATTTCAAACTGAAGAAGAATCTGGAGTCAGTGACGTGCAAGAAGCAGCTTTTCATTCCTGAATCAACTAACCATCTTATTGTTTTCATTACCCCGGACAAGTTCCCTGTCCTGGAAACCCCCAGAGAACCCGCTGGGACACGTAACGACTCGTCTGTGCTAGAAAGCTTCGCGTCGTCTTGTCGGTCTCTGAATATTGATGCACTTTGTCCGAGGACATTTCTTAAAACTTCTGTGCTTACAGGAGACAGAAGCTGTTTTGCAGGATGAGCCTGGTGATAGCTTATATTTTTGTTACTGTCAACAAGTTCCACAAGAAGGCAGAAATATGAAAGGTGTTATTTTGTCTCAGTACCTTACAGTTTCCACACAGTCTGTCTATTTTGGGCTGCATCACAGTGGCTGAAGACCAACAGAGGGAACAAAAGGGGAGAAATGTTTGACGATAGGTTCGCACACTAGTCTACCTCTGGTTCCCTAAAAGCCCAATAGTTTGTGTGTAAAAAATGTAACTCATTATATTTTCTGATTTTTGTTTTTTGCTTTCTTATTAAGGTCTTTTAAGCAATGGCAAATTTTGCATCTAACTAGATGATTTAAATTAACAACAGGTCACTCTTTGACTTTTTCTCCATTGTCATGTTACAATGATGATGCAACTTGACATTTCAGGCACTGAAACGGCTTTGTTGATGAAATAAAACAAATAAACTGACAGCAATTTGAGATGGAAAGAGCCAAAGCTGCGCAAATCTGTAAAATGGAAGGTAAATAATTTGCAGTTTTCAAAAGGTTGTACATGTAAGAATCTGAAGTGTGTGGTTTGTTTTTGTTTTCAGTCCTCTGAGTCGATACAAACCTTCAGACAGCTGCAAGTCCTTTTGCACATCTGGTCATTTTTGATAATTCTTAATAGCCCAATCTCTATCGGCTTGAGAACATGTGAACATAATTGTCCGCTCTCTTAATTGGATTTACATCTGGGCTTTGACTAGGCCATTCTAAAACGTGCACATACTTTTGTCAACACCATTCCGTTGTAGCTCTGTCTGTGCGTCGTAATGCCAGAAGTTAAACCTTGACCCCAGTTTTAATTCCTGTGCAGCTACAGAACAGTTTTCTTGCACAGAATAACGCTGCCGCCACCTCTGTGACGGCGCGTAATGTGCATTGATAGTCTTCTTTGTAAGCAGCCGAAAAGCAAATGTTGTCTTCATCCAATTAGAGCATCTTCTTCCTCAAGTTTGCTGTTTCTCGTACTTCCCTTGTGACAAACCGATTTCTTTCAGCAATCTCTTCCATAAGAACCAGAGCTCTGAAGTGTGTAACTACTGATTATCTCGTCAACAGGTTCTCCTATCTGAGCTGGCTGCTCCTCTGATTGACTGACTGACTGACTGGGTTCATTTGCAGCTGTGCCGCTCTTTCATTACTTTCTCATCAGAACTCAGTGAAAAGTTCAACCTAACATTTCCATTTCTCACACTGAGAGTACATTTCCTTCCACTTCACAATCACGCACAGCTTTGTTTTGGTACATTATTACGTAAACATTTTGATGGATGTTGAATTTTTAGGTCTGAATGAGACAAAATGTGAAAAAGTTTTGCCATGCGCTGTAAATGTTGAGTTTTCCAGTAATGTGACGTTTTTCGCGGCTTGTTTAAGTTTCCCGTCATTCCTCAACCCCCCACAAATCTGTGTAATTAGAAACAAAAATAAAAAGATTGGTCAGATAATCTCACCGGCCTAGGAAGGCACGCGCACACACGTTTGTGAATTTTTGAACGTTCCCCAAAACTAAAATCTGCCTCAGTTTGATTCTTTTCAGGGACTTTGTTGACAGTGAGAAACTCCTGCACATCACCAGACTCGCCCTCCAAAGAGCCTCTTAGCAGCTGAATGTACTAGATAATCCCTCTCCTAACTGAGACATACTTGTACTAGCAGCCTCTGTTTTTCAGCCAGTCCAGCGGTTCCTGCGGACATCGACGCGAGCAGAACGCGCTGACGTGTTTCGTACTGCACTGTACAGGAGCAGCTTTTCGTCTAGACAGTCGAGGACAGACTCGATGTAGCACAGCCATGGTCTCTAAGTGCTTTAAATTACACTGTTCAGTGTTTGTGCCAAGTTTATATGAATATGTGACTTTTGTTTTTTTTCAACCACTGTTATACTTTTACGACAGCTGCTTCGACAGGAGAAAATACGTTTAATTAGATGCGTTTTTTTTTAGAGTCTTTTCCCTCCTGTGAGTCACTTGCTGTTCTCTGATGGAGTGATTATTAGACTATGTGCAATAAAAGATGTTCATTGTAAAGCTGTCATCGATGGGTTCGAGTGTTTGAATCAGTGAGTTTCACACTTATCGGAAAAGTCTTAAAATCCTCTTTAGAGTACAAATAGAGTCTAATATTTGCTATGGTGACCCCAAGAGTCCCCCTGTTTTTACTCCTCTCACCATCCTGACGTTTGGTTCTCAGACAAACTTGTTTTGCAGTTTCAAACATCTGAATTGTTGCTTGTTTCTTCTCATCACCAGACTGCAGCCATTTTAGGTAAGTAGTTTTTTTTTTTTTGAAGGATAATAAAGACTAACACATATTTATCTAAATATACTGAATTGTTGTTTTGTTTTTACCATTTCGAAGAGTGGAAAACAGACGTAGGTCTCTTTTTAAAGCTATATTTATGCAAAGTGAAAACAGGAAGCCGTGGATTACTAATTACAAGTTCCAACACAATTTTGTAGAAATTGAAACAGTAAAGCATAAAATAAATAAAATCCTTTAGTTTCATCTATTAGTTGTTGTAGGCTTTTCACTATTTTTGATATTGTTTTTTTAGTAGCAATAATATTTCAAATACCCTAAAATTGAAGGCTGGATTTCAAAAAAAAAAAGAAGCTATGCTACTAAAATATGAATAAACATTTTTTTTAATTACTGGGCAAATAAAGTAAGTTTGGAAGCTATGTTTTATTTCATAATTTAATTAAAAAAATTTCTGCATTTATTCATTTGAAATGGAAGTGAAATCACAGGGCTAGTTCCCCAAAATGCATTATTATCCCATGTCTAAAATGAAATGTTCCCCATTAGGAAAAAGATTGCAGTAGAGAAATATGACTCATAGGTCTCTCCAGAAGTGTTGCAGAGTCATTCACGTCTTCCTATTGGTTCCATTAAGTCCTCTTTGTAATGCCGAAGACATAAAAATAGCTGCAAAAGAAAAACTTCTACTCCAATAATATGCATTTTCCCAAGATTAATTAAAAAGTTTGGTCAATGTTCTTCTCCTCAATTAGTTTATTCTAACTCACTAATGGATCGAGCTTAATCACATGCAAACCAGACTGGCTTTAATTATTCTCAGCGTTAAGTGAAGGAAGATCAGTACTCAAGCACTCAAAGACTCTGACTTCATGTATTTTGTGCTGAAAGTGACTCTTGGTTAAAACGGAGCCAGAGTTCGGGTATTTTAACGCATCATAATTAACCCCAATCATCGGTGGCTGGTGAAGGAGAAGCTGGTAATTAAAACTTCTCAAACAGAAGATGCATGCATAGCGGCATATGTGCTGTTTAGAGCGATGGAAGGGACAAACACTTGGAGCGTGAGTTATAACTGAATGAAGACGTTTCTCCTCGCTTACTTGTCAACGATAACAAATCTCTGCAGAATAAAGCTGTCCAGATTTTAAGCCTCCATCCTCACTCGCCTCATTTTCCACTCTGTCCTCATCTGAAAAAGCTAGTGTGGAAGAAAGACATGAGGAGATATTTACATCTAGTCACGGCTCCAGTTAAACGAGACCGAAACTGAGCCTTTCCACCCACAGACAAACTCTGTGTGAGGAGCAGCGCTTCTTTGCGTCATATTAACTAACCCTGAACTCACCATCCTCACAGTGAAACGTGGCGGTGGCAGCGTGATGCTGTGAGATCGGTTTTCTCCAATGTCAGGTCAGAGTTAGTTGGATGATGGCTGGAGCTCAAACACAGGAGTCTGCAAGAGATGTGAAACAGAAGTGGAGTTTTTTTTTTTTCCAAGAACAAACATAGAGCTGTCACCACAATGGAAGTTTTTAGATTAAAAGCGTGTTTCTGTTAAAACGACCCAGACAAAGTCCGAGTTTAAATTCAGCTGAGCTTGAAAATTGTTGTCCACGGACAGTTTCCATCCAGTCCGACTCCTCTCGAGCTACTTTGCACAGAAGAGTGACAGATAATTTCAGACTGTTGCAGTGCAAAGTCGACCTGCAGCTTTAAATGCAGCTAAGCATATAGTTCTTCAAAGTACCAGAGCGGTACCAAAGGTGTAAATACTTTTGCAGCAAGTTGTCTTTCATGAGTGACTCAGCCTTTTCCCACAGATCCACACCTCTTTTCCCTCAGCAGTATCTACCCCCCCCCCGCCCCCACACACGCACACACGCACACACACACATGATTACAAGCACTCTTTACAATTGCACACAAGGAATGATCTCCCCTGTTGGGCTTCACTTTCAGTTTCTGGGTTAGGCTGTAATTTGCATAATGCATGAACATGTTAAGGATCTCATCAATATTCCTGATATAGATGAAGGATGCAGCAATTTTTTTTTTGTTTTTTTTACCCCTCACTCGAACTCTGTACCAACCTCCTTCTCGCCTGCCTGCCCTCCTGCCTCGAACCCTTTTGAATATTCACTCTGCCATTATGCTAATCAGGTCTGCTCAGCTCGAAGAGGAGACCTTATAATTAGTTGAAACGGTATAATAAGTTCACTTAAAAAAAAAATAAGAAAAAAAGCTTTTACAGCGTGCCATCATGTCTGGGATTTTCCAGAAATCATTGAGAGGGAAAGCAAAGCTGCTCCGCCGATGCAGACATGAACTGAAGTGGGTGGTAATCAGGTCTGCTGATAATAACCGTGTCTCACTCTAGAAAAAATAGAATTGCTCTTGTGCAAAGTTTAGCAGCGCCTCTGTGCTAAATGGCTCTGTTTGAGCGACATCCTGTGCTTTTGTTTCTTCCTGAACAACAGCAAATCATCAAGCTCTTCTGCTTTGATTTGGATTTAAAACAACATCCACGTGATATTGGAATAATCTGAGAAAATCACAGCCAGCAAGCCGACTAATACTGCAACTTTCACACAGGGTTTGGTGTATTCCTCTTCTAGATGTAGACTTATTAGAAAATATAGTGTTGACCAAACAAACTGAATTATGCCTCTTGTTTCCTGAAAGCCTGATGTCTAAATAACCTCTCTAAGTATTTGCTGTAAGTACTTATTCAGGCTTTCTGAATGTTAACTAATGCATTGATGTTTTGATGATTTATTAAAAGATTTCAGTCCAATACTTAAGCATTTCCAGAGAAGAAAAGACATGCAACGCCAATATTTTAATCTTTGAAATCTTACAAAATACCCAGCATTTTAGCACCAGTAAGAAGTTAAACAGAGCTGAACCTTGTGAGGAGTGGACAGTCCATCAAAGTGACTCCAACAGTCCATCAAAAACTCATCCAGGAAGTTACAAAATGAACCAAAACAACAACTGTCATCCTGCAAGACCTCAAAAACTGCAAGGCTTCAAGATTCCACATTAAGAAAGTTTCAAGTCCAAAATCTTTTGACCTTAAAAGTCTTGTCTCATATTTACCAAAAGAAGAAGAAGAAAAAAAACAACTGATGATCCCCAAAACTTTTTAGAAAATATTCTGTGTACTAATGAGAAAACAGAAAAACAGTTTGTGACTTTAATAAATCAAAGCACACCTGAAAATCAAAGTGTAATTTTTTTTAGTTTTCGTGTGGCCTAGTCAAAGGTCGATCTGACTGAGATAGTGTGGAATTAGTTCATGCTAAGTTTGACCAAATTCCTCCACGGTGATGTAAAACCTTCCTCTGACATTTCGACTTGGCTTGAATAGCAGAAAGCACAATAACGGCGCTTTCCCTTCAAATTAAAACCTGACAGAAAGCCATTGTGCACAACACACACAACCGAAAGAGCTCAGTCATATTCCCTCTGCAGCTCCACTGTTCAGCCTCTTTGGTGGAAGTTCATCGGAATGTCTGGCTTATTTGGGAAGTTCACGCAGTCCGAGAGGAAAACACACCCTCTGACTGCGTGTGTATCGAGGTGCCACAGAACGGAGCGGGGTCATAACAGCGTGGGGGGAAAATGCTGCTGGTTCTGCTGCAGATGTTGGTGCCTTTCTGCGGAGCCGCGCCGCGATGCGACCCGCTGATAAGAGGTAAAACTTTCTCATCCTTCATTCCAGGACAGTCGCTGCACATTAAATGCGATCGGGTTCACGCGCCAGTGAAAACGTCCCATAGATGCTTGTTTGGAGACTTTTCATTTGAACAATTTGATTGGAACGCATGCATTATTAATTTCGAGTCGTTTTTTAACATATGTGTTCCAGACGGGCCGTGTGGCGGTTTTTTTTTTGTCTATTAGAGAGCTACTACAGCAAAGAAGAAGGAATTGAAGAGCGTTTACGATCCAGTTTATTGCATTCACAGAAACCACTCTGCCACCTAGCGGCCACTGATCAAATTGATGTGTGTTTTGCAGGACAGTGCAAGCCAGCGGTGGAAGAAAAGCGTAAGTGCCCTCCAGCTTGAAACGAAGAGAGTCGTCATGCACGGACTGTTCATCTTCTCCTCGTTTGAATTTTTAATGACGACGTCTCGCACTTCTGATCTTCAAACCAAAATGTACCAAGACACGGGAAAGTAAAAATAATGATAATAATAAAAAAATTAGAAAAATTAGATGAACAAAAGCAGTTTTGCGGGCTTCTTTAAATCGCTTGATTTCTGTCACCAATAGGAGCATAAATCCCACGACGCCACGGAGTGTTAACGGAATCTGATCCGGCTGAGTATTTTTAGATGATCGATGGAGGCATGAAATATTCAGATTCTAATTTCCACAGATAATGGAAATATTTAGGACCAGTGACAAATAGAGACGCATAATGGACCTTTCAAAATAAAACCGACTCTAATCTTCATCTTGTCGTTCTCAGCACAACTTGAACGCAACATAAGACGTGTGATTTGTCTGATGCCAACAATCAAGTTGGATACAAGTATTTTATGAAGTTTACACTGAATCCTCCTTTTAAAGTTGTGTTGCATTACAGCTCACTTTAATATGTTTGCACAATGCGAATGATGCCAACTGAGCATTACTGACTATTTGTTACAGCCACATATAACAAGTTAACTCTGGCTGCAAGATTAGAGCAGTAGTGGAAAGTTTAGTGGAAGGAAAAGATGTGGCGATCTATTGAAGAGCAGGAAGATGTGGAAAAATGGAGCCGCTGAAATAATTTCATTTTTAGATAAAGATGATTTATTTGTAAATGATCATGTGATTTATAGATAAATGTCCCCGATTTGATTTCACCCTTTCTATCACAGCCAAATGCACAGACATCCTGCTGTCCTATTGCGACGACATGCCCTACACCCGCACCATGTTCCCAAACATCCTTGGCCACGGCACCCGCAGGGACGCAGAAACCGG